TCGATACCCATACTAGAGCGATAATTATTCATTTATTATAATTTTATGATATAGACAAAATCTATTTTACTCACTACAAAGAAGCAAATTCGTTTCAGTGCATTTCAACTGCACTTCGACGGGTGAGAATCGAAAATGGCCATTTTTGATTCTCGCCCGTCGAAGTGGAATTATATATTACGTTCTCATCGCATCATATATATATATATATATATATATATATATATATATATATATATATATATATATATATATAATTTGTAGATTAATATCTGTATAATATTCAATAGCGGCTCTCCTTCCTTCGGATTTTCCTTCGGTGTGAGTTATTTTCTTTTTTTTTATGACTGTAGCATTTATAAAAGCATAATTGTGGTTGAATTAATTTCTATATGACTTTGTATCAATAAATTCATTTCGTTTTTTTTTTACCTTGAAAAAATCCGCATTGGACGAAACGCGTCGGCTAAAACTACAGTTTTCATATTGTCTGTTTCTTTTATACGCACACACACATATATATATATATATATATATATATATATATATATATATATATATATATATATATATTAATTTTTTATAAAGAAAATAAATGGAAAATAAATGAAAAACCATTTATTTTCTTTTCAACATCATCACTTGATAAGACACAGAGTGTGTTGAAACAAAATGGCTATTTTTGTAGTGATTTTATAACATACTTATGTTATAATTTTTTATAAAATTTTTTATGCTCTACTTTGTATTGAGCACTCTTTTAAGAATAGTAATTGTTGGTTATTGGAATTCATTCCGTGTTATATACTTTGATATATATATATATATATATATATATATATATATATATATATATATATATATATACGATTAAATCTTATTTAAACACGCACGGAGAGCTACCAATCTCCATCCGCAACATACTCGTAGTCAATGCAAATATAATAGCATCATTCACAGGTAAAAAAAGGCTAAAAATAAGCATTATTAATAAAAAAAAAAGAAATCGTCAATATTCAAAACCCTCAACTATGAACACGGCCACAATCTGCTGACCGTGTTTGGAAAATACAACATTCCTGAAACTCTAGATATAGGTATTAAAAAATAGAATTACATAAAAAATCCATATATTGCGTTAAAAGTAAAAAAAAAAAAATCATCCTTGATAATGGCTAAAAGAATAGCCGAAAGCGCTCGGACATACAGAAGATTTGAACAATTTCTACGTAATTTATGTCCAGAAAAGGAAAAAAATTATAAGGATGCTAGTCCTGCAATCGTCAGCTACTAGGCATGAAACACCGCGTCGTACTGTCGGCATGGTGTATTATATATTTTTATTAATATATATATATATATATATATATATATGGGGTGGGGGGAAGTGTGAGTTTGTAAACAGTGACTATTATGGCTAATAATGGAAGACTCTTCGGTAAAGAGAATCGAGTACTCTCAGTCACTGTGTGTTTATCTAAAAATAAATACGCTTAAATTCACCTTCATCCTTGCCGGGCGCCAAAGACTTAGTTGTAGAATTTCCGAATTCAGTCGGGGTTCGATCCTTCCTAGAGGCAACCGGTCGTCTATCCACACTGATGAGCGGTGATACAGCGAAACATACTGTCTGTGGATCGCAATATATATATATATATATATATATATATATATATATATATATATATATATATATATATATGAAAATGTCTCCGATTTAACCAGTAGAAGACAATATATATTTATGAATAAAAATGACAATAGGAAAACTAGTAATTGCTGACGCGTTTCGTCCAATGTGGACGTTATCAATTAAATTCATTTCGTATAAAGCCCACATTGGACGAAACACGTCAGCAATTACTAGTTTTCCTATTTTCCTATATATATATATATATATATATATATATATATATATATATATATATATATATATATATATATATATATTGATGCATTATTCATTTCTCACAAGCTTTAATTCCATCAATGTGTCACAATTCGTTCAGTATATCAAGCCTCTTATAAGCGACCGTTTAATCCGTTGATATTTGATATTTTCATTGGATGCTTTTTTATTTTTATTTGTTAATTGTCACGTCTTCTAATGATTTAGCGGGCTTGCCATGCGCCTTGTGTGTTACGTGATCCATCCGTCGTTACGATTGCTGCCGAACAAATTATATATATATATATATACCTCCAAGGAATTACTAAAAAATCAACATACCACGATGAAATTGTGCCCCAAATGTAATGAAAACGCAATTTTATCGTCAAAATATTTATGCTATTATTAAGAAGGAATATTAAAGTATTTTTTGAATATTGAATTAAATTTTATCCCCTTTTAAGAACATTTTTGGGCTACTGGTGTTTGTATACATCGCGTATATAATACGTTAAAAATTATCTTTTTCTGCCGTGTGTCGTTCGCTTAGGGATAGAATCTCTGATGCCAAATCAATCGGGTTTCAATCCCGATTTGAAGCAACTAATTGTCTAGCCACACTGATGAGCTGTGATACAGCGAAACAGACTTGTATGTGGATGACTATATATATATATATATATATATATATATATATATATACACTTTTAGATTTAGATATAGATTTTACTAAAATTGTTACTGCTTTAAGTATTACGTTAGGCCAAAAAGTGTATTACGAGTTTTTCCTATTTTATGAGTCACATAAGACAAAAATGGATTATTGCTGCTTTAAGAGTTACACTGGACCAAATTGGATTATTACTCCTTTAAGTGTTAGATTAAGAATAAATGAAATATTGCTGCTTTAAATGTCAGATTAGACCACCACAGGAATCTTACTTCATTAGGCGTTAGATTAGCCGAAAAATTGAATATTTCTACTTTCAGGGTTAGATAAGACGAATGATAGATTATTGACGCTTTAAGAGTCAGATTAGGCCAAAAATGGATTATTGCTGCTTTAAGAGTCAGATTAGGCCAAAATGTATAATTGTTTCTTTAAGAATCTTATTAGGTGTAAAATGGATTATTGCTGGTTTAAGAGACACATTAGAGCGAATATTGAATATTACCACTCGAAGGGTCAGATT